ATTAGGGAGGTCCCCAGGAGGTGCCGCTGGCTGCCAGCCCTGCAGGCTCCCCGGGCAGGGATGGGGCTCAGAAGCCCCCACGGTGTCAGATGACTGAAGGCAGGACCAGCTGTGCAGCCAGCTGTGTGCTCCGGGGGCCGGGGGGCGACTTTGATGTGTGTGGAGCCGGGGCATGTGGGGGCTTGGACCCCACGGGATGTGACTGCATCCCCCGGGATGTGTTTGCACCCCCTGGGATGTGTTTCCATCCCCCGGGATGTGTTTGCACCCCCTGGGATGTGTTTGCATCCCCCTGGATGTGTTTGCATCCCCCGGGATGTGACTGCATCCCCCGGGATGTGTTTCCTTCCCCCCTGGATGTGTTTCCATCCCCTGGGATGCGTTTCCATCCCCCTGGATGTGTTTCCATCCCCCTGGATGTGTTTCCATCCCCCTGGATGTGTTTCCTTCCCCCCTGGATGTGTTTCCATCCCCCTGGATGTGTTTCCATGCCCCCGGGATGTGTTTGCACCCCCTGGATGTGTTTCCATCCCCCGGGATGTGTTTCCTTCCCCCCGGGATGTGTTTCTATCCCCCTGGGATGTGTTTCCATCCCCCGGGATGTGTTTTTATCCCCCTGGCCCGGGATGTGTTTTTATCCCCCTGGATGTGTTTCCATCCCCCTGGATGTGTTTCCATCCCCCTGGATGTGTTTCCATCCCCCCGGGATGTGTTTGTATCCCCCGGGATGTGTTTCCATCCCCCGGGATGTGTTTTTATCCCCCGGGATGTGTTTCCATCCCCCTGGATGTGTTTCCATCCCCCCTGGATGTGTTTCCATCCCCCTGGGATGTGTTTCCATCCCCCTGGATGTGTTTCCATCCCCTCTCCCCCCGGGGGTCGCACCCGGGCAGGCTCCGGCTCTCTGCCCAGGGCTGGGGGTTCTGTGTAAGCCTGGGATAAATTGTAACTCAAATTGACTTCTCCTCCTTGGATCTTGACCCGAGAAGAAAACATCTGGGCCTGATGTGATTTTATTAAGTGCTGATTTCATCAGCAAAGAGGTAAAAAAGCAGGGGGGGGAGGAAAAAAAGGAGGAAACTTTCTGGCCAGTTGGACCAGCTCCCTGTAAACCTCTGAAGGTGATGGAGTGGCCCAGGGGAACAGGCAGCTTGGAGAGTGGCAGCTGCAGGTTTGAGGTGGCCAAACACTGATGGCTTTCAATCCCCTCCACTCTGACCAGTGATGCCCAGTGGGCCTTGGAAACTCGCTGGTTTCCTGAGGAAAAAAGCGAGAAAAATGATGGAGGAGGCAGAGAAAAACACAATCCCCAACTGCCATTTTTCCCAGGAAAAAAACCCCAATCCTGCTGGGCTAAACCCTGATGGGGAGAGGTGTCACAAGAGGATCTGTCCTCTGCAGAGCCACAGGACTGACCCTGCAGTGTCCCCAGGCCACTGGCTCGTGGCACAGGTGGCCTCTGCGGGCACAAGGAGCTCTGTGATGCTTAATGACCATTCTTTTGTGGAGGTGGGGGCTCAAAATACGTTTTCAAACAAAAAATCCCATAAGTCCTCACACATGGGGGATTATTGCAACAGCAAGTTGGTTTGGGGGTTCCACCCCCTCCCCCCATTTCTTCCTTTTTATTTTTTTTCGCCTTTCCCCCCTCCTGTTTGTTTTTTCATCTGCTTACAATTTTTCTGGGACAAATTTAGGCCTGGGTCGTGTCCCACATAGGACTGGAAAGTCTGAACAGCCTTGGCTCTGCTGCCAGGAGTGAGGAGAAAGGGCACACAGCCCATGGCAGTTTTAAACTTCAAATAAAAAAGATCCAAATGCCAAAGAAAACTCCAGATCTCACTGAGTTTTGGAAGTGAAGGGTGAGTGGGAAGGCAGGGAGGGGATCCCCTGGGTGCACCTTAGCCAAAAAAATTGTTTAAATGGAGCTGAGCTCCTCTGGGAGGAGGCAGGAAGAGAACTTGCCTTGTTTCTCTGCTGGATTTTCCTCTGCCACCATCCCCTTTGGCACTGAGAGCACGGACACGTGTCCACCTTTGTCTGTGATGGGAAAAATGCCACCTCAAACTCTCAGGTTCTTTAGGTTTGGTAAGTTTTTCTCTAGGCGACCACAGCAGTGCCACTCACCAGGAGGCAGAGTGGGAAAAGGCTGCACAGATTTTGGAGGAATGCTGCTGGGAAGGTGGAGAGGTGGCTGGGGCACGGTCTGTAATTACCTATGCAAGGAGCAGCTGGCAAAGGCTGAAGGGCTTTTTAATTAGCAGCCAAAGGCAAATCAGGATCCAACAGCAGGGAAGCTGAAGTCAGCAAAGTCAAGGTGGAAATCTGAGGGCAGTTTTTCCAGCGAGGGTAATTAAGTGCCAGCAGAGAGCAGCGTGAGACATGAGGAATTACCGTCATTCAAGGACCTTAAATCAAGGAGAGGAGTTTCCCCTGCAGACACTCCTGCTCCTTCCATCTCTGCTTTGGCACTGCTCCCTCGGGCAGGAGGGAGCAGCTGCCCTCAGGCTGGCACTACCTGGGCACAGATCCTGCTGCAGGGGCATCCCTGCTCCGTCCTAACGAGCCAGGCAGAGAATTTAGGGGGGAAAAGGGGCTGCTTTTGCAGCTGACCTGAAAGCAGCCAGCCTGCCCTCATCCTGGCACACCTGGGATCTTTCAGAACAGCAGCTTTCTTGTGCTGAGATTCAGCCTGAGTTTTTGCCTGCATGGGGGCTTGCACCTCGGGACATGGCAGATGTGGTTCTCTCACTCTGCAAGAGGAAATCTGGGTCAGTTTGGGCTGGAGCAGGGCTCCTTGGCTATAACATCTTCTGAGATCCCCAAATCCTCACCAGCAACTGAGAGGTTGAGGTTTAAGACAAACCTGCCCTCCTGTGGCACATTAATTCCAAAACAAAGGATCGGGCTGCTAGGTGGAGGCAGAAGTTATCCTCCAGGAATTGGAGCTTTGGGATGGGGATGGAAGCAAAAAAATCCCCATTTGGGGCTGGTTGGGAAGCATCTCTGGCTCATACCAATTCCTTGACGTGGTCTTTCCTTTTCCAAAAATAAACAGGAACCGTTTGGAAAGCCCCTGTGTGAGGAGGAGCAGAACTCCCCAGAATAAATAAATACACAGAGAGCCTGGGTTGAGTTCATCCAGCTGGTTGTTCCCCACTGCCAAGGGTTGCTCAGGATGAGGATGAAGCTCAAAATGTCTCGGTGGGGGTGAGAGCACATGAAGCTCTTTCCCCAGTTAATGGGGTTTTGGGGAAATGCTGAAATGGCCTCCTTGAGCAGGAGCTGCTCTTGCAGCATGGCTTTCTGCTGGCCCCAAAAAACTGCTGCACTATCAGCCTTTCCATCTGTTTTAGTCACAAACAGTTCAAGGGGACAGAAAAAGCCCTTATTTGGGTTTAATTACAATGCAAAATGGGGAGAAGTTTCACATTTCTGCTTTCAGGGCTGGGTTTTTACTGCCCCAGCTGCTTTTGTCGTGGTTTCCCTCCCATGTGCTGGACTGAAGCCCTGGTGAAACACCACCATGGCCTCACTGAGGCTCCCCAAATCATCCCACAAACACAGGGATAACAACACCATAGGCACAGAGCTGCCAGACAAACTCCACATTCATAAATGTTATTAAGATGATGAATTAAATATGAATTTTGTTTCAGGCGTAACATCAAGATCACCAGGAGACCCCAAAGCGCTTGTGTTGCATAAATGCTCAGCATTTCCTCAACACACTCGTTCAGCTCCCTTGGACACGGGCAGCAGGACAGGAAGGCAGCAGTTTGGAAAGCAGAGATGCCTCTTCTCTGCTTTTTTTGGGACTGTACTTATATTTTTTAGCTGACTGAGTCAGTGCTCTGGGGTGCTGGGGCATTTTCTGCCGGGGAAGCATCACCTCCACACCCACTGGCTCTGCCTTATCAATCTTTCATGTCCTGAAAGCTCTGCTTGGTGACTGACAGCTGTCAGGACAGGGCTGGAAAAAGCCAGTCAGTTATTTAATTTACTGTCTTCAGTACAAAATGAAAAATAACAATCTTGAAAATAGGAAAAAAAATTTTAAATCTGAGTTTCTGCCCTCAAGTTTTTGGCTGTATTGACCCTGACCACTGCTCAGGGCTGTCTCAGTGGCTCTGACCTCACTGCAACACTCACTGCCTGCTCAACCGTGGGAGGCTGAGCAGCTCCATCCCTGTGGGGCTGGAAAACACGGACCATAGAACCCACCTCACCCTGTGACCTGTGGGAACCTCTCCCCAGGGCAGCAGGGAGGGTAAAGGCTTCTTCCCTGCTACAGAACAGTCACAGGATGCTCCAGGCCACCAAAAATGCTTTTCTCCTGCAATCTAAAAACCTTTTGAGAGTTCATGCAAGAAAACAAACTGCTGCCACTGGCTGTGCAGCTCGTGCCACTGCTGCCCCCAGGTTCATCTCAGCACAGGCTGATGGCTTGGCTCTGCTTCAGCAGGATTGTTCCCCTGGCTTCCCTCCCAAAATAGGGACAAAAATGGGATTCCACCCCACTGCTGCTCCTGCAAAACACAGAAAGTGTTTTCTCCCCCACGAGGGGAAGAGAGGGACAGGGAAGGTTTGCAGTTGACCAGCAGCTTCAGCAGGATCTGTGCTAGAATTGAAGTTTTAGGGTAGCAGCAGCTACGAGCCTTTGGCAGCAGGCAGGGAACACTCAGGTATCAGCAAAGGGATTTTCCATGGCTGGCAGGACTGCTCAGCACAAGGGAGGTCAGACACAGCATTTCCCTCACTCCTGGGGAGAGCAGCTTTCCATTTGCTGTTCTGCCATCACTTTTATGTTATTCACTCCCCACTCCTCAGTTCCAGTCCAAGGGACCATCCCAAACAATCCACAGCCACACAATGATGTCTGTTCAGGTTTTGTTTTTCTTCAAACCCCCACATCCACCCCAGAAAAAGGCAGTTCTCATGGGCACTGTCACCACAGTGTGGCCAAATGTGACATCCCTGTGGAATAAATAAAGCCTGAGTCAGGGATTTCTCAAAGAGTTTTATTAAAATGAAAAAAGAGTTTTATAGTGAAAAAGGAACAGTAACAAACCATCTCTTGTGAATAACAATAACACACCATCTCAGTTCAATGCACTGGATGAGGAGCAGCACCAAGTGCCTGGATCTCAGCTCTCCTGTAAATGAGAGCAGGATTCAGAGGTTCACACACCTTTGCAGGTGCAGAGGTTTCAACCCCCTGGGGAGGAAGAGGATCTTGCTCAGACCAAACTTTGCTTTTTAAGATGAAGCAAAGCCTTCACTTGCTTCCCTGGCTCTTTCTGAGCTCAGAAAGAACATCATGGTGACCTCCAGCTGGTGTCTCTTCCTGGTTTATTGCCATGAAATCAGGATTTCCTCTTTGCAGAGACTGCTGTCTCTAGCTGCTGTGGAGTGGCTTGGCGAACACGGGCTCCATGAGGTGGAAAATCAGGAACAGGAACAGGCAGCCAAGGAAGACCAGGCTCATCACAGCCAGGAGGATGAAACGGCCGATGAGGAAGGTGTCCACGATCTGCAGGGAAGAGAGACACAAAATTCCCAGCATGTCACACCCCCAGTCTGCTTCAGGACACCACGTCCTGGAGAAAAGAACCTCTGGGGCTCCCCCAGATTTCTCTCCTTGCTTTTTATCCCTGGCATGGGCACTCTCTGGGATGCACATTGTGCGACAAATGAGAACAAGAATCCCTGCAAAAAGCCACTGGGAATGTTAATGTGGAGCAGCACAGTCCTGAGCACAGGGAAGGGACAGGAGTCAAGCCCTGAAGCAGCTCTCCCCAGTCACAAACCTCCAGCCCTGATTCCCTTTTAGAACAGAGATAGTGAGAAAAGAAAAAAAAATAACAATTCAAAAAAAAAGCTATGGTAGGTAGGCAAGACAAAGAGAAGCCCACAGTGAGGAGGCTGTTTATGAAATCCCCTCTCTGCTCCCCAGACCCCCCAGAGCTCTGCTCAGCCCTGGCTCAGCTTTATCCATCGCATTAGCTCAGCCCTGGTGCTCCTGCAGAGAGTCTCTGGTGAGCCAAGCGCCGGCTCCTTCTGCACGTTTCACTTTTTAATTAGCCAATTAGCAGAGTTTTGGTGCAGAAAGCCCAGGTCATGTATTATTGATAGGCAGGGCAGGTCCAGTCCAATTGAAGATCTGTATAAAAATAAGCTTTCCAATTCCATTTGCCTCCCAGGCAACAAACACGCACTGGGCTGCCCTTCATCTCACTCCTAACCTTCACACCAGCAGGGCAGATGTGACACAGAGAGAAGAAAAGAACATTACAAGTGTCTTTTAGTAGGGATTTACACAGAACAAGAACCAGAAGAGCAATAATTAACATGCATTAATAATAGAACATAGGAAATGGCACCTGAAAGGCCACAAAACTTTGTGTATTCAAAGCCCAAAGAGCTCTGGGAGAGCTCAGGGTGGCAGCTCAGCCTGATCCAAAAACTGGGGGAGATCCCTGTGCCTGACAATGCAGATGGCTTTTCATGCTCAAGCACGGCAAGAACCTACAAGAGAGCTAAAGAGCAGTTAATGGGCTTTAATCAGAAAACAGAGCTGAGGGGAGAGGGAAAAGCTGCAGAACTGGAAGTGTTATAAACGCAAAGGCAAATTTATGATAGAAATGAAAAATAGATTTATTAATAAACAACAAAGAGAGAAACAACGATAAAAATCCACAATAAAAAGGTCAGCGCAGCGCTGGGTGGACAGGGTCTACACCAAAAGGTATAGGTTTCCCAAATCCACGTCTGAGGGTCCCCAAGCCTCGGTTTTTATAGAGGTTTTGTGTCCTTAGGCTAAAATTCCAGGCCGGTTTCATTCACCAAGTGTCTCTGATTGTTTAGTGAATGAATTTCCTGCCGTAGAATGATGACATTAACTTGTGTCCGGCCAGAATCTCCTCATATGTAAAGGAGATTCTGTATGTATTTCAATTTGTGTTGTCCTGGCAGGGCGGGGGAATTCGGGCTGGTGCCGATGGATATCTTGACTGCGCCTTCCTCTTTGTTCCTCCTGATCGCTTTCTCAACACCAGGAACAGCCCTGGTCTGGCAAGGCTCAGTTTTTCGGAGCCTGTCTTTTCACTATTGATCAGATTGTTTCCACAGAAGTCTGCAGGGCGTTGCTCAGGTCCGGAGGCCGACGATCTCCCTGAGCCAGCTCCATTGTAGGTTTGACGAGCCTCGTCCTGCTTTTTGTTCGTGTTGATGGGCCTTGCCAAAGTTCGTTATCAAGGTATCGTTTTGCAATCAGTTTCTCCCCAAAGGAGATTTCGGCCAGCCCCAAGAAGGGGTTTTTCTGTACATTTTATATTTTATATCCTTGCAAACACATTTGTCACATTTATACAATTTTCGAATTTTTAATACATATGGTAATTTATTACAGTCCCCCACCTAATAATTTATCACATTAAAAATTCGTGCAAACTGAAATAGTTTAACCTTTTGAAAAGAGGAATATTTGTATTCCTTTTTACCTTTTTTTTTCTTTTAGTGTCTTTCTCTATCTGTTTCTAAATCATCATTTTCAATTGACAACATGTGTTTGCTCTCAAAGTCCTTTAAAGCCTGTACTGCCTCTTCACTTTCTTTCTCCTCTTCTAATAATAATAATTTTGAGAGAAGAGCCGTTTTATTTTGTGCTTTTTCCGGTTCTACTGGGAGGGCGGCAATCTGCATCCCTTGAACCACGGAGTGAATTAATCTAATCAGGCATGGAATTAAACAGGGCAGGAAGATGACTCCGGCTGCGGAACATCCTATAAAGAATACTAGCTTTTTCCACCAAGCCCCTTGTCCAAAAATTTGGTCCCACCATGAGGCTTGCAAGATAGAATNCCCGATCCCAGCCCCGATCCCGATCCCGATCCCGATCCCGATCCCGGCCCCGATCCCGATCCCGATCCTGATCCCGATCCCGATCCCGATCCCGATCCCGGCCCCGATCCCCATCCCAGCCCTCATCCCGGTGCCATCCCGGTCCCAATCCTGTTGAAACGCGGCCCCACAGACCCGGTCCCTGTGGAGTCCCGGCCGCCCTGGCCTCATGGAATCCCCGGATCCCGCTCCCTGTCCCGCGGCCCCGTCCCGGAGCTCCCGGGGGATCGCGAGTTCCCCTCCCGGTGCCGGGGACACGCAGCTCCTGCCCTGCCCTCTGCAGAGAGCACCCCTGAACCCGCTTGCACCCCTGAACCCTAAAATTCACCTGTCCACCCGCTGAGTTGGATTTAGGGCCCAAATCAGGCAGATTTCGTTAAAACGGTAGCGCTGACACAGGGCAGAGCAGGGTTTTGGAACAGCCCTGCTGGGGTCTGGAGCAGCCAAGCCAGACTAGAGAGGTTGGTCGATGCTATGAACATCTTCTAATATCAAGACAAGAGGAATTTCCATCTAAAATAAATATTTCAGCCTGTTTATAAATCCTGTCTCTTCACCATCACATCTTGCCCATCAGACCCAGGCCAGCGTGGTTTGATGAGTGACTTTATCACAGAATCTCAGAATTATATAATGCTTTGGGTCAGAAAGGATTTTAAAGACGATCTTGTTCCAAATCCAGACACTCCGGGCCGTGAATCAAAAAAAAAACCCCTAAACATTGATATTTTCTGTCTCAACTGCTTGAAGTCTGCAATACTTTGGCTGCATAAAATGTCACCTGAGTGGGCGTTTTCTGCCGCTTCTTTCAAGGGGAGGAATAAAGCAGCGCTTAATTATTCTGCACAGCACCGACCTGCCTTTCCCTGTGATGAAATCAGAGTCGCCAGCATGACACCAAATGCTTCAGCAAGCAGAACACAAACTGTCTCTGACACCTGCCTTTACTTGGCATGGAGTGGTGACCGGCTGCCAACACATTAAAAGCGTATGTTTGATAGCAAACTCCTTCCTGCTCTGCTTGCTGTTGTTAATCCCACCAGGCAGGGTTTTTCCCCCTCTGCAATCCCCGCCTTGTTGAGGTCCATCTCTGCCCTTCCTTTCCCACTCCTTCTCTGCTGTTTTCCCTGTGCTTCCTGCTCCTGCTGGCAATGAGAAATGAAATATTTGCTCCTGTTGTTTGGGGCTCTCCCTTTGCTTTTCTCTGTTTTCCCATTTCTTTGCGTTTTTTGGAACCCGGTTGTTTCTGAAACCCCAAATTTCTTCCCATAACCCTGTTTTCAACTGGAGCCTTCTCCTTCTGCCACTCCTTTTGCATCCTTTGGCTTTCCATCTAGAAGCAATATGTTTGATTCATCAGCCAATAACGCTTTTCCTTGGCTTATTTTTCTCTTGTACCACTTATCCACAGCTTTTCCAACAGCCTTGTTAACCTCTTCCCATATTGATTGGGTTTTCATTTCTCATCTCTGTGTCTTGGTGCTGCCTGGAAGTTTCTTGATGCCAACAACAGCAATGTTAAGCCAGTTCAAGAGCTTGAAGCAGAGAGCTTGAATCATCCAGCTATTGATCCTGCTGGGGGACCAGGCCACATCCCAGATATTTGGCCAGAAGTTGAAGGATAAATTCAATATATAGCCCAGCAAGCACATCCAGTGGGCAGCTCTGAGCCATTCTGCTTGCATCACTCATCTGATCATTTATCTGATTTTGTTCATTTTAACCCCACCAGAGCAGTAGGGCTGATGGTAACTCAAGCACAAGATTTGGAGTTGAAATGAGCCCAGCAGCCTAACACCCTCCAAAATACTTATATTTTATGTATCCCTTTAATATTAAATGTATTCAATATTTAATAAGGTATATGTATAACATTACATATAACAAATAATATTTAATATTATTTATTTGCAGAGCCCACATGGTATCACAGCAAGGCTGCAGGTTTCTCTGAGCATGATGAAGGCAAATGGCAAACCCACAGATAAGGAAAACTGGCAAAAACCAACCCCATTGGTGTGATACTTCTATCAAAGCACAACCTTTGCCAGAAATTTCCCCAACACATCTGCAACAAACCCCATCACCCTAAACCCCATCATCCTAAACCCCATCATCCTAAACCCATCCTTCTTCTGCACCCTCAGCCTCCTCCCAGCACCAGAAATGCCTTGCAGACTGCTCTGTCAGCCCATCAGTTGAATGTAAAGATCTGGTTTTATTGCCCAAAAATCATTTATTGCTGGCCTAAAATAACTTTTCCTTCCAGCTTTTACCTGCTTAGATTTGGTCTCATTTATTGCTTGTGTGAGTGTTGCATTGCACCTGGAGAAATTAAGTAACAGAAAGTGGGAGAAAGGCAATGCTGGGTATAAAAAGTGAATTAAAAAAACATAGGAGAGCAGCAAATATTGAGGAGTTTTCTGTTGTTTTCATGACTCTTGGACAAGCTTCCTATTTGTGGTGGTTTTTTCAGGATAACTGTTGATGTAGAGAACTTTGCTGGTGTCACACATTCAGGTTTCTCCAAGACTTTTGGTTTGCACTGTGTGGAATTTGCACCCAAACCCTTGTGCAGGGGACAGGACACATCCAAGTGAGGACAGATGAAGGGCTGATGATGAATTCCAGCTCCAGTGTGTTTGATATCCATAACAGAGGTATCATAAAGCCTTTCCTGGCTCTCAAGCAATAATCTGCTTTAAATACGGAGAAGTGGAGTCGTGCAGGTGCTGTCGGGTGCTCATGGCCCAGAAAACCCAATTCAAAGGATTTACTTGGACACAAATGATTCTCTTGTCCAGTGGATGGCTGCTGCTGTCCTGCCAAGGAAAAGGAATGGTTTGAAGGATTTGGTGTCACTGTGGGGAGTTTTTCCCAAGGAAGAGATCAGGGAATTGTGGAATTCCTTGGCAAAGGCGTGACAAAGATCCTGAGGCTGGCATTGGATGAAATAGGCTTGGCAGAGAGATGCAATTAGTGCTGAGGCTAATTAAATGCTTGGCTCAGGAGGACAGAGAGGTCACTTTCCTTCAAGGCCTGCAAGATAGGATCACATGGATCAAAGCTCATTTGTGAGAGCAGCAGCCCCTGGAAAAAGGGCGGGTTCGGCTTCTTTTGGGTTAAACCCTGCAAATCCACCATGCCCAGCTCATCCTGGTGGCCAAAACAACCAATGAGGCCTAATATCAAATGATAATAAATGATCAAACTCTTGGTGGTGGAGTTGGGAGCGCTGAGGGAACTGATTTAAAACTGCTCGCGCTGTCGTGAGACTTCCACTTTTACGGCTGGAGCTCCCCGATGCTCCAATATTAGAATTAAAAAGAAACAGGCGTTGATGCAAGAAAAGAAAATATTCTGCTCCTGATTTAAAGACTAGCGAATTGCTAAATATTTTTATTAGTGGCAAATTTGCAGCTTGCTGGAACTAATTTCACGCCCGGTAGATATGGAGCTTAAGCTGGGAATGGCGTTAAATTACTCTCTTGTAAGGGTGTTTAAACCTTGTGATGGGGATCTGTTGGATGGTGGGGACCCCTCTTTTGGGGGGATTCCTCATGGGTTGGGAGTCTGGAGGTGGTGGATGGGGAAAAGAGTGTCAGAACACACATAACATTTCATCTTTGGTGTGATAGGAACTGCCAGGCCCCCTCATTTGCATAAATTTGCTTATGCAAACCAGTGTGGTC